TTTTCATTCTTCTATTATAGTTAGTGTTCTTGTGTTCTCATTCAAATGTATTCGAACTCACATATACATATATAGTCGAACATTAACAGTGTATTTGAAGTTGTTGCAACAAATGGTGATACACATTTAGGTGGTAAAGATTTTGATGAACGTGTTATGGAACATTTCATAAAATTATTTAAAAAGAAAACTGGTAAAGATGTTCGGCAAAGTAATCAAGCTGTACAAAAATTACGACATGAAATTGAAAGAGCTAAACGAATCTTATCATCTGAACGTCAAACAACAATTGAAATCGCATCATTTTATAATAATGAAGATTTTAATGAAATATTAACACGTGCAAAATTTGAAGAATTAAATATAGACTTATTTCGTTCAACACTAAAATCAGTACAAAAAGTTTTAGAAGATGCTGATTTAAAAAAGAATGATATCTTAGAAATTGTTCTTGTCGGTGGTTCAACACGTATTCCAAAAATTCAACAATTAGTTAAAGAATTCTTCGATGGAAAAGAACCATCCCGTGATATCAATCCAGATGAAGCTATTGCTTCTGGTGCTGCTCTTCACGCTGGCGTTTGGGCAGGTGAACAAGATACTGGTGATATCGTTTTTTTCGAAGGAACTTCATTAACTATGGGTATTGAAACAGATGGTGGTGTGATGACAAAAATTATTCCACGTAATACAGTTATTCCAAATAAGAAAAGTCAAATTTTTTCCACTACTGCTCATAATCAAGCAGTTGTAACAATTAAAGTATTTGAAGGTGAACGTCCAATGGCAAAAGACAATCATTTTATACGTAAACTTGATCTTGCTGATATTCCACCAGCACCACGAGGTGTACCGGAAATTGAAGTTATTTTTGAAATTGACAATGATGGTATTCTTAAAGTTACTGCTGAATATAAAGGAGCAAGAAATGGAAATAAGGATGTGGGAGTTGAGGAGTCGGTGAGGGAGCTGGTGGCTAGGTGGATTATTGCGGTGATATTGTGGGTGGCTAGGTGGATTGCTCTATTAATAATCGCGTGCGTGGCGGTGATATTGTGGACCTGCTTGATCAGACCAGTCTTATACTCACACCCACACGCTAATTAAATTTTTTTTGTTAAAAATTCCTGAATAGATAAATCTTATTTATTATCTTGTAGAATTTTAAACATTGATAATCATTTGAATAAAAATATGAAAAGTTGAATTCATATCAATGATTATTTAATATTATTGTTTAAAAATAAAAGATTATTAAATTGACTAATTAGATAATTTTTATTATAATAACAAAGATAATAATTTGAATAATATCAAAGACAAACAAAATATGAATTTCTTTTTATAAATATTATAATAATTTTATTTAATAATATCTAAAATTATTTATATAAAAATTATTTCATATGAATTATTTTTTGATATAAAATAAAGGATAAATTAATAAGTATTAAAATATATAGGACATTACAATAATTTTTTCTTCTGATTCTTCTTATAGTCTCAGTTTCAGTTCAAGTATCTTGTTAGAATTCTTAAATATATTTAAAAAATATGTACAAAATTTCGGATCTCTATGTCTTATGCTTTATTATTTCTCTTATTTTAAATACACCACAGTTCCTATAGTGTAATACATAACAGATAAAAAGTGACATTTTAGATATCCGTTTTCAATCTTTTACTATCTTGCATTTGAAAAACAAAACATTCCATCAAAGATGCAGCATGTAAAGCTTTACAATTTATATAAAGTTATGTTTTTTATAGTTATACATTTTGCTTTGTAAATAGAGACAAGTTTTTGGCGATCACATTTTGATACTACAAAAGGATAAGACGAACGAAAAATTTCTATTTTCTTTTCAAACCTTTTTATCGACTACACAGTTTTTATAGCTATTCGATACATTTTATTTTTATATATTACATCAAAAAGAGATGAAATAAGTAAAAACATATTCATTTTTTACTGAAAAAATATAATTTTTATATGATCGAACTATTATAGCGTAAAATTTTCTCTATTTTCAAAGCAAAATGCGTAATCATAGAAAAAGTGTTCCTATGTAGATTGCAGAGCTTTCCATGTTACATCTTGTGATATATTTTACTTTTTTAATACGGAATATTAAGAAATTGAAAAGTGAAAGACAAAACGTAGTTATTTGATATCTTGCTTTGATATAAAAGAAATAATAAATCACATTAAAACACAAGATTTACAAGTATGAAACTTTGGACATATTCCTGAATATGTTTAAACATTATAACAAAATATTTCAACTTAAACTGAGCCTTTTAGAAGCACCAAGCCAAAAAACGTTTTGTATTATCTCATGTATTTCCATTCTTATTTGATCAGTTTATCGAGAAGATTTTATTTAAAAGAATATAATGAGCAATCGATTTATTTATTATTTCTATTAAATAACATTTGAGGAAAATTCATTGGCGAATAAAATTTCTATTTGATTAATTTTATTTATTATTTCAATTAAAAGAATATTTGTTCGACATTATTCAATATGAATAATATTTTCATAAATAAAACATTAATTAAACAATTATTGATTTGTTGTTTTCAAATAAAAATACTTTCATATAGGTTTCAACGAAATTTTTTAAAAGGAATGATGAAATTTCTTTTTATGTATCTATGCTGAGATATCCAATTCTAAACAATACTTTTATTTTTATGATTAAATCTGATTATGTCTTATACTTATTTATTTCGATATAGTTTTTCTTTTTCAATCAAATCATTAAATTCATCAATGTTTTTATTTTCGAATGATTTTCTTTTATCGAAAAATTTATTTGAGATTTTCAATTTCTTTAATTAACAAAATGAAACTATTGAAAATGTTATTTTTGGTTGAAATTATTTCCAACTTTCAAAAATCTTGTTTTTCTTCAGGGTGTGGGTGTGAATGTGGATGACTATCTCTTCTTCATTAGTAGTCAGATTCACAGCAACACTCACACCTTTTTGTACATTAAAAATAATGAAAATAAAGAAGCAGAAATGACTTATCAATCTTTGAATATTAGAAAATAATCGTGAAAATGATATGATGAAGACGAGTTTTTATTAATTTATAAACAGAAACTGTTTGAATAAAATGAAGCCGTCAATAAAAAAATTTCCGAAAAAGACTAAAATTTTCATTTCTGTATGTGATTCTATATTTTCTCAAAACAAATTTAATGTAAATTTTGGATCGGATAAGGAATCATTTTCTAATATACGAATAGTTGAATATTAATCAAAGATTTCTCTTTTTTTCTTCTTTGAAATGATGATCAGCGATTAACTATAATCGAGTTTGTATAGATGGTATTCACTGATCTTAATTTAATTTTTAATCAATTATATAACTTGTGAGAAAAGAAATGTGTGCTGTGACACGTGTGAGTAGGGGTGGAGCATTCTCTTTATCGCATGCGTTCATACTGGCATCCGTATCCACACCCACACCCTCATCATATGAATGTGACATAAAAAATAATACTATTTGTGTTTGATATTTATCATTAATCTGGAAAGATGCACCATTTGATGTTCTTCAAAAAAGATCTAATTAATTCATTATATAAAATCTTATCTATTTTGTTAATGATAATCGATGAAAGTATTAAGACAAAAGTCTCATCACAATTTTTCAGAATGATCATTTTGAAAACTATCTCAAACACTAGTTTTGAAATGTTAAGCAGGTTTTAATTCTATTTTGTTGTTAGTCTGACATTTTGTCTAATCATTTTCAGTTTATAGATTATATTTTTAAAGATGAAAACCACATTGACATAAAACTTTATTAAATAATAAGCTGAGAAATTATAGTATGAGAACTTTTTCAGAAACAACATTTTCGAAACTTGTGAGATTTCGTCTTCATTTTTTAAGAGGTTAGAAATGATATCACCACAACTTCATCAAATTTTTCTTTCATTTATCAATAGTCTATGCAAAAGGCGAAAAATATTCTGTTAGATCGATATTTCCCGGTTAATTTTCAAGTCGAAGCAAATATTATACTAATAAAGTAGAAAAGTTTTGAAATAATGAAAAAACATTGATTATCGATGAATGAGTCGTCGCCATCGTCTGAATGATTCTTGAAATGTTTTTCTGTACAATGCTGAAGGAAAGACAAAAACAATAAAGATAAGCATCGATGGAGTAAATGAAATGAAATAACCAAAAATAAATAATAATCGATGGTTAGATGGATTGACACATTCAGATAACATTGACATAATCAGACGGGGTAAAGATAGAATTAGAAGAATAATTGGGCTGATTAATAACTGTTTGTGTTCATTAAATTGATTATAAACATGTTCTCTTAGAGTTTGTCTTGTCTGAGCTGTTGATCTTTGTCGGGCTGATCCAAATATGATGTATAAAGCAGAACAAAGATTGATAATACATGGGGCAACAAGATGAAAAAATAAGATGATTGTATTGTATTGTTGAATAAAAGGAGAATAACGAGTTATACACCATCTATCGATATCCACTTTGTTCGTCTCTGTCTTTATCACACCTAATTCTCGATATATAGGTTCGTGAATGATCGAAACCATGATACAGAATGGTAAGATAAGAATTATCCATCGAGCTATGCGTTGACTTTTCTGTTTATTGAATTTGACTCCTTTGAAAACGAGAATCGCTCTTTCAATGGCTACACAAGCATTGAGCCAAGCATCTAAATATAGAGAAAGCTTGAGAAGGGATTCGATCGATACACAGCCTCCTCGAACAACAGAAAGACGAATTGATAGATCCATTTGAGTGAGAACAACGAACCAAAACTTCACTGTAAACATGCTGATTGTAAAAAAAGAAGTAATTGATGATGATAAGAGATAGATGCCACATCCAACTTGTCGTAAATCTTTACTTTGAAATGTTAGTAAAGACAACATACTATTAATCAAACCTCCAACAAACATAATCATCGTTAAAGCAGCGTTGATTTTCAACAATATTGTTTGATCAGTCATTGTCATATTCGGTCGAATTTCATCACGTAAAATATCATCAAGAGTGACACCAATACTTTTTTTGTAGAACTGACATTTTTGGCCAATGAAACAGCTGGTCAGAATTTGAGCTAAAGAAAAAAAATATATGATGATAAAGGGATGAGATCATTTTTCTCAACTTAACAAAATCATGTTGGAGCAAGTTTATAAACAGTAATAGTTTATGAAGGTCATTTATCTATACATGACATGCTGTGTCGAGATTAGATTTCTACATTCCTATTTTTATCTTATTGGAAGAAAACTGTTCGATTTTAAAAGGAGAAATTTCGATTTGGTTCTATTTTTGAACAATAAATCTGTTTAATTATACGATCTATTTGAAATTCTGAGATCTTTTATTACTCAACAGTGAAGATCGAGTTTAGTCTGATGCTACACTTTATGTTAATGATTTACGAATAATACAAAATACTTACTGTAAGGATCAAGAGTGATATTATTTGGGCCAGATGTTAGAATGGAAAAGTTTCCTGTCATGTTTGGAGAAGATGTTGTCACCACTAATATGTATTTAGTGTCAGTGTGAAGATTAATGATGAACTTGAAATCTTGAAAACTACAGCTTTGAGAATCTTCTGAGATCCAATTCTCAAGAGGATTCATTGGATTAAACTCATCTTTGTAAATATAACCAAATGTATTCATACTGCTAGAACTACTCAGAGCATAGTATCCAGTTTCCACTACATACATTCGTATAGTTTGATAGTAATAGTTTGATTTTCGACAATCTCGAGAATATGTTTGACTACTCGTAGTCAGCTCTGATGAATAGTTCGATTGTTCAGCTGATGAATATTGAATTTGGATGACTGATCGAGAACCTACGTGATGAAAACAAAAATAACAATCGAAATTCGTGATAGATCTTGATTGACATAGAGAAAGACGAATCGTCGGGATGTAAGAAAGAAAACTGAGCATAATAAACTATCTCTTATATACCCTGAATATCGAAAGGCATGTCAAAGCTGAGCCTGGCTTTCTCAATAAAACGACTCTCTACAATATCACTCTCAATGAAATGATTAAGCCGTAAATGGAGAGTAAGACTAGAATCTATAAACATTTTTCTGTGCTAGAACTCTCGATAATGTATGTCGCGAATGATTTTAAAATAACTTCTTTATTTCGAAAATGGATAATATTCCAACGTTTTAGATAGGAAAAATTGTCTATTTATAGTCTAACTCTCCTACTATTATGATTTATTCGAAAATTAAAGTATGTAGTGACATCTTTTAGATTCATACAAAATAAGGATATGTTTATGTTTTTTATTTACGATACATTATATTTAAATGCTCAAAACATTTTTTATTATAGAAATATTGAGTGATAGGACATGTTGTAAAAAAAAAGCAAAGTTTTTTCATTTCATGATCACAAACAGAGATTCATGCCGATTTGTATATTACTCACATCAGATTAGCGATCGATTTGAACAGTCTTAAATTCAAGAGGAATTCTTCGAATGCTATTTATAATATTCTATTATTTGATGGATTCAATGTAGCTGTTTATGGAAAGCTCTCTTCTTATAATGCAAATGCCATCTCACAAAACAAGTTTTTATTTGTGGATATGCCGAACTCAATTAAATGCTCTTGCTAACGTTTACAGATATTCATTGGATAGTTGTAGTGCAAACACTTACTAATATTCTTGAGATTAACATCATCTGGACCATATACAAAGATCGAGAATGCGCCTGTCATATTAGAACCCAACGTTGCCGCAATCAATATATATGTGACACTATTTTCAAGAGAAATTTTGAATGTAAACTGATTTGGTTCGCAACTGTCATCATCGTATTCAAGTCGATTTTCATTTGGATTGGATGGATTGAAATATTCTTTATAAATAGAGCCGTATGTGGCCATATTGCTTTTACTGGAGAAAGTGTAAAAACCACTTCTACGAACATTCACTTGTATCGCTCTGTAATAAAAACGTTGCTCCAAACACCAAAGGAAATGCGTTGAACTATTCATTGTCAATTCTGATACATAAGTTGTTTGAACAACTGATGAAGTATTCACTAACGAAAAAGAAAATCGATCTAATTTTGCATAGTACGAAAATAAGTGTCAGCAATTTGAAATATTACTTTTACTCTCAAATACGTTCACCGAGAGTGACTGAAAGTGATGTGAATCATAGCCTCTGTCGCACAGAAATATCTGTATATCATTTTGTAGATTGAGTTTGTCTATATCTTCTAGCGGTTATGGATATGCGCAGTTGATTATGCATTAAAATACTATAGATACTCACACACATGATTGAAATCGACATAGCCTGGACCGAATACTTGAATTAAAGCGGTTCCTGTTATATTCCGAGAAGATGTTGTCATAACAAAAACATATATCATGTTGGCATGAAGTGTGACTCCGAGTTTAAATTGACTTTGATTATGAGAGTTTCCATTAGGAATGAGCACATTATTGGACACATTGAATGGATTGAAGTTGTTTGTGTAGATATAAGCATACGTGGTTTTCATCTCGCTGCTGATTAGAAAAGTATAATGGCCAATTATAGTGACGTTCATTTGTATCGCTTCATAATACGAATCTAACTCTGAACAGTCGTTGAAAAAAGTTGAACTATTCGAAGTCAGTGATGATGAATATATTGTTTCTATAGCTAATGAACTATCTATGAAATGAAAAAACTCAATCAGTATTTGAATTTAGAATAAAGTAAAAAAAAGAAATGATTCCGTATATTTTTAGTTTACTCTTCACTCTGTTTATTAATAAGAGTTGAATTGTTTGTTTTAGAGTAACCGCCCCCCCCCCCCCCCTTCCATAATAAAAGACCCTGTCGTATTAAAAGACCCTCCCATAATAGAAGACCCCTCTCGAGCAAAAAACGAAAAAAAAGCCCTATAGGATAGAGGGGTTTTTCCATAGGAAAAGCGCGATGTGCGAAATATAATAGAAGACCCCCGGGTCTTTTATTATGGAGGGGGTTTAATGCTTTTAACAGTGAAATGACGAAAAACATGAAATAAAATATCTATTTAGTGTCCTTACAATAAGTATCAATGTTAACTGTTAAAATCCGCATGTTCTTTCTAAGAGACGTTGTAATAATTACAATAAAGAGGTGTTTATAAAACCTCGAGTCAGAGCTGAGCAAAGTACTCGAAGTACTCGTACTCGAGGGGTTGGTACTCATACTCGTACTCGTACTCGGGAGGCTTGGTACTCGTACACGTACTCGAATGGATTTTTTTTCGTACTCGAGAATATAATCTTGGAGTTCTGAACTATGTGTCATAAAAAATTACTATGTGATTAGGTGCTGCATGGATGACATGAATTCTTGACGTCTTTTTGTTTCGATTGTTTAAATATAGATTTTTTCCTCTACCAACTATGGCAAAAACTCTTAGTCACCCTCGATACAATAGTACTCGTGTTGGTACTCGAGTACGATTTTGCTGGTACTTGCCCTCGAGAAAGTCCGTGCTCGCCCAGCTCTGCCTCGTGTACAAAAACGAGTACCATTCTAGACTATGAAAGTTTGGTAAGTCATAGACTTATAAAGGAGGGGTCTCGATAAGTGATGAAATCTGCTCCTTTCAAAATTTTCCCGTGGTACCCCCGGTCACATAATTTTTGAACCCAGCTAAATTTTCATGGGGGCAGATTTCATCGCTTATCGATACCCCTCCTTTATGATTTCTTCATTATTATTTTTACATTCAAACTTTTCTCCTTTTATAAATATGATACAAAACAATTGTTTTTTATTTTCGATATCATTGAGCATAATAATAAACTATCTGATAAAACTATTTGAAAAAGTTCTAGTTAATCTACTAATATGCCATGATATCATCAAGAAAATGCCGATTGAAAGTGACATTCAATCTCAACAAATCAGAATATTCTCATATTCGACCCATTGTTAAAATATTACAAGAGTGACTCTTTAGTTATTTTTTATTCTAATAAAGCGTGCCTTGAATAATCAGATAAGGATGAAACTTTTTTCTTCTTCTCATTATTGGCATTTTTCTGTGAAGACATTGACCTACGTGTAAATCTCATGCCTTTGTAATAATCCTGACTCTAGTCCCGTTCATCAACCAAAATTATGAGCGCACATATAACATAATCGTTTTCTCATCTCGAAAGTAAGAGTGGCATTCTGAATCTCTATGACTGCACTAGGAGTTACAGTTAACACTCAATACATAAGGTCATTTCTGTTACACAGATGTTTTATATCTACGAATTTGAAAGCACATTGAATAACTATGCAAAACGATTTTTGGTTGATTTCAAAGCAATTCGTGTAACTTCTTTTGTTCTGAAATACATAATTTGATAAGAGAAATTTGTCTTCACATCAATATTTACTTCGAAGGGTTTTTAGTTCGATAAAGATTTGATGAATTGCGATGAAAATTTTACTTCGCATGAGTATCTGACGTGTCATAAAATCATTGTGTTCATCATTTTCTATAGTCATCAGCGGTAAGAGAGCGCAGACATCGGTGAATGAAATAAAATTTATAGAGAAAGTTTAAAAAATGGCTAAATGCATCTCTGATTTTCTTACTAAATACATGAACACTCTAATTTCCATCTGAATCATACAACTAACATGATGGCAATATTATCGATTGACTTTTGTGGAGAATTATGATAGGCAAGATTTTTATTTTATAATAATAATATATTCAGATGAAACTTGAAATTTGAATTTAACTATTCAGTAACTCAGTTCGGAATCTATCGAGAGTTTCATTTTCATTTCGATCTTCTGTGATAGTTTTTTTTAATTCTCTGAATAAATATTGATTGAAATGATATTAAAGACTTTATTCGATCATTCTAAACTTACCACACGATTCTTCGACATACTGGAATTTTTGAATTCGATGATTGAATGAATCGATAACAAATATGTTTCCTGAACGATCGAAACTAAAACTAAATGGACGATTTAATTGATTGGATTGTGAACCTAATCCATAACATCCAACTAAACATCGAAAACCATTTAAGCCTGAACCAACAATGCGACCATTGTTAGCATCCACAATGAATAAATATTTCTCAGCATCTAATATAATTCCAGTTGGAAAAAGAAGTGTAATTGTTGGATTTAATGATGTACCTCCAGCTACTGTAATACCAGTTAATTCTCCCGACTGGAACAACTGAACACGGTTATTGGAACAATCTGCCACATATAAATCGAAATTCACATCAACAAAGATTCCAAAAGGATTATCAAGCTGATTCGAGTCTAATCCTTTAATACCTGTACCAGCAGCAACACGATTTGAAGCCATCACGGAATCGTTTAATGATGTTTTTACTACTTGATGATGATTCTTCATTGAACAATAAAGAGTATCATTGATATCGACAAACAAACCACCACAATATGAGTTGGTATTCATCACTGTGACAAATGTATTTGTTTCTGCACTCCATCTCTGTACTCGTTGATTTTCATATCGATCACCAATATAAATATCACCATTTGATGTCACGAAGAGAGAACTGGGTGTAAAATTACTAGAAATGATCTTTGTTGGATTAACACTCTTTTCTTGCCACATAACAATTATGTCATTTTCTTGATTAGCAGCATAAATTGTGTTGTTTGTGTTCACAAAAATGACGATAGGATAGAGACCAACAGTCGATCTATTAGCAAATGTAATTCCATTAGAATTCCAAATGGGTATTGGACAAAACTTTGGCTGATTGAATGAAAGCGCTAGAAAAAAAGAAAAATACAAAGAATATCAGAGAAGAACTGTAAACGAAATGAAATTGTTAATTCATGTTTTTTCTGGAAAAAACTCATTGAGATTATAACTATGAAAAGATTTCTAGGATTGTTGTTGTATTTTGTCGGATAATTCGTAAATATAAACAAAGAGTGGGATGCATTTATCGAAGAAGATCAACTTTATTTATTGATTTGTTTTGTTGTAAAAGAAAAATAATTATTTTCGATCATTGAAAAGATATGAATGTCGTTCAAGACAAGAAAATAATCAAATCATATATTTTATTTGTTCGACGAAAATGAATTCGAAGGAGGAAAAAAGAATTGTTTTTTATTTACATTAATCTGTTCATCTTTTCTTTTTCTTCCTTTTGATTTCATTTGGAAAAGTTAAATAATAATTTTTTTCATCTGTTATAATGTGATATGATAAAATAGATTTCTTTTCTTTTTCTTCAGTCTCATTCTTATCTCAAGATTTTAACGAACAATGTCACTTTTGTGCAATAGCTTATCTTGAGTATGTAATAAATAATAGTATTTACCTGATGTTTCAGTGTTGAGAATGAACAGAAGAATGGTGATAAATATGTAGATATTCCACATAATTCAACAAGAGTTTTTTTGATAAATTAGTTCACTAATAAAATAATATTTTTCTTCTTCTTTGTTTTCGATAAAAACAAAATGATACTCATTATTGATATTCTCTCTAGTTATATATCTCCCTTTTTCTCTTTTTTTCTCTCGTTCACTTCTTCCAACATAACACACAAAGGGAAAAAATAGTGTTCTAGAGAAGGTTTCGTTGTTGGTAAGATAAAAAATTAATTTTAGATTTAAATAACGAACAAAACTAATCATTTAATTTGATATTTTTCATTAAATTTCATTCTTTTTAAAATTCAAAACCAAAGAATGGAATTTAAACTCGACATGATCATTTTCTTTTTTTTTTGATTTTATAGAAAATCTTTGATTTTAATGGAGAAGAACGTGATAAAGAGAAAGAAAAATTGATCAAAGTCTGCATTAATCATCGGACGTGTTTTAACTGAAAATAAGATATCAACTATCATCGTCAATAAATGATAGATGTCAATGAATAAGTCATGATTAGTTTGATGCCTTTTTTATTTGATTTTGTTAAATAATCTGCTTTGTCAGGACTTACTTTAAATCACGTTCTTTATTTCTCTATGCGCAGTAAGTATATTTGTATCAGATATATTAAAAGCAGAATTGTTCATTGTGATACGATGTATTTTTCTTAGAGACATGAAAAAGATGCATGAATTTAACTCGGAATTCGCTGTATGCAAAAGCAAAATCCTGAAAATGGATATTACTTGGAATCCATTCGGCAGCGGTGAGTTGTCAACCATGATGAACATTTCTCATTCAAATTGATTTAAAAAGTGTGAATGTGCGTGAAAGATGACTATACTTTCCACATCTTTCCTTACGCGCGCATACTCATACCATACATTATATGCAAAACATTCTTAACTAATTTGAGAAATATTTATTCTGAGGGCGTGGGTGTGTGGATGTGGGTACTAAGTGAATACAGTGTTCATACCTACATCCACACCCACACCCATCCATCCTCAAGAATAGAGACATGAACAGAAAAGCTCGCATTCTACATATGTTACGACTAGATCATGTTACAGAAACATCGCTAGCACTTCTATCTATTCTTAAATTGTCACGATACACATTATGCTGCCAACAACTTCGTGCTCCGCCCATTCCGTGCTCATATTTAAACGCCCCGCTAGCCCATCTTATTTATTTTTTCGTTCTGCCCCGTGGGTCATTTTCATGTGCCGTACATGTCTGTTTGGTAACTCATTCATTTCGATCGAGAAGTTTCAAATAATGCTTGTTCATTTTAATCATGAATGAAAAAAGTTCAAAGAAAAACAAAATTAATTAGATTTCTTTCAAATACAAAGAATAATCAAGGCTAAACAGATGCATATAGTTGCAAATAAAAGTTTTCTACAGGGTCACAGGTGTGATACGCTGGCGGCATACTGGACAGATACGAGTCCTTGCGAGCCAATTGGCTACACAAGGCGGATGAAACAAATGGCCACACGGCAATCTTTTGATTTCTTCATTGGC